AAACTCCCCTCCACCGGGGTCCACTCAGCACAGGGTCGCAAAGCCCCATAGCCCCAATAGCAGCAGAAGCAGCCGAGACACACACCCACGCACCGTGCCGTCACCTCTTCCTGAATCGGGCCTCACACGTGTAGGGTTGTCGAAAGCAACGGAGCTTTCACCAGAAAGAGAAATGTTGGGTGCGTCCTTCGCAAGAATCGCGCTGGTGCTTTCGGATCCACCGTCAGCCATGCTGCCGTCGTCGGATCCGCCAGCCAGGCGCACCTTTGGCGATGACGAAGCTGGCGATGATGAAGCTGGCGAAGATGAAGCTGGCGATGAGGAAGCCGGCGATGAGGAAGCCGGCGATGAGGAAGCCGGCGATGAGGAAGCCGGCGATGAGGAAGCTGGCGAAGATGAAGCTGGCGATGAGGAAGCCGGCGATGAGGAAGCCGGCGATGAGGAAGCCGGCGATGAGGAAGCCGGCGATGAGGAAGCCGGCGATGACCCCGACTCCTCACCAGCACTGTGACTGCCTTTATGGGCCTCCTCTGGTAGAGGCCCTTTAGGATTCAAACCGTCACCAACCATCTTTTCTCCAGGTTTCAGCTTGGAGGCAATCTCCCCATCATTCCCCAGCGTTGTGAATGGTCCCTCAGCAGCCGGTGTTGGAAGTGTGACTTTGCTGGCACTGAGGCTCGTGAGCCCATTATCATCAAGTGCGTCGTTGTACAGCAGGACACTGCCCACCGTCACGTCAACCTCGCCTGTCCCCTTCGCACCATCGCCGCCAACGTAGAAGTCCAAGACACCGCGTGAGGTATACTCACTGTGCGGAACATCCTCCTGAATAAGTTCATTATTGTCAACGTACACATACAACTCATTCCAATGCCTTTTCAGTACCACTTGATACGTTGTGCCAGGCTGCCACGTACCATCTTTATCTGACAACCCCCGATACTTTCCGTTGACAGTCACTCCCCACTTCTTGTCCTTCGTGTAAAACAGACCAACGAGCACAGTGCTGCCACCGTCGTTCATCCTCACACCCATCAAAGGAACAGGACCGTCTGTCTCCGGCACCGCGTTAATCATCACCGTCGCCACAAGAATGAACTTGTTTTTCACAAAGTGGTACGGCTGAAACTGCCCCTTGTTGTCCACCAGCCACTTCGCCCCTGCTCCTGCGCCTTGGAACCTCACAACCCCCTCCGTGCCTGCCACATTCCCACCATGCACCGTTGCGTTCACTCCGAGGTACTCGTCCTTCCATAAATTCCCCTCCAAACTGTTGGACCAAAAGCCAACCAGCCCTTCCGTGGGAATAGGGCCCTTGCACACATTCTTTATCCGCGGGTCAACAGTGCCAGTGGAAGCACAGTTTTTCAATGTGGTGTCCATATCATTCCAGGCCTTCACCACGCTCTTTATCTGCTTCAGCTGCTCAGTCAGGCTCACGGCGACAAGACTGTATGAATCTCCGTTCTTCTTCTTCTCGTACAGTAAAATCAACTCCTTCTTGTCAGCTCTGTACAGCAGGGAGCTGGCGGCGGCGTCATCACCTTCGCGAGACACCAGCCCAACGTCGTGCACACGGGCATTGTCTGTCATCCAAAGATGCAGCTGACCCTCTCCCTTCTCATCAGAATACACCGGCGTGCTGAGCAGCATCACCTTCTTTCCATCGATGGTTGCAGTGATGAAGCCACTTCGCACGGCCTCCCCTTTTCGATCACGTGAGTTGTCCCACATGCAGGAAATTGGCGCATTACCATACCAATACTTCCAAGATATAATAGTGCTGTACACGTAATAGGAGCCATCCGTGCAGGGAGCTATCATGAAGATGCGTCGGTCATCGACTTCGCCCCACTCCACAATCGATGGATTGTGGCAACCCTCACCCACCGTATCGAGCAAAGACTCCCATTTATTCTCTGACGGGTGAAGTGCGCGGCCTGCAAACGTTCTCCATCATTCTTGTG